TTCGCAAATCCTATCCCTAACAGAGATGCCCCAAGTCTTCCTGGCTAGATCTTTTCCTAAAAAAAATCCAGCTAAATTTTATTACAGCCGAAGGTAAAAAAAAAAATAAGTCCATTTGTATTTAAAATTAACTAAACTATGGATTAATCCTCACAATCATAAAACTGAAAGTAGGCATGCAGACAGGGATAAGACAAAATTCAGTGCATCCATGCCCCCAGGCACAAGTACTCAACACTCTCTGAATGTGAAGTCATTTATGAAGTCCTTTACAACATGCAGTCAAAGAGGTTAATTGAAAAATTTCTTAATGTCATTATGAAAGAACTAGATTAACCCAAGTTAATTCACTTTATTGTTCAAAATAAAGAGGAATAAGCATTGAACTCACTTGCAAATTTGGGGCATGAATTAGGGGTGAGATGTTGTCTTTAAGGACTCTGCCAGTTTAATTAAGATATGGAAAATTACTTATTGTTCTTCACCACTAAAGTGCTAGGAATTAACAGCCAAATGTGATGCCTGTGCCTTTCATATCTCTACCATGTGTTTGTTTGTTTAATACCCATAAGACTACATCATTAAACCTCAAGCACTGATTTCACTAATTCAGCACGAGAGCTACATGCTACAGCAGCAAACACCTTTCCGAGTCAATCATAATTGAACAGCTGGATGTAAAATGCAATATTATTTTTAGGCTCGTCTCTAACTTTGACTTCAAACCACAAGCCCTGTTTTCCTCCCAAACAAAATACCTTCCTATCTTTGTAATGCATCCCCTAAATATAGCGGGAGCACACGGGTGGCACGTGATGTATTTTATCCACTTTATCAGTTCCTTCCAATTAGAGACCCTACAACTGCCAACATTGCTGCACTGCTCCTGTCTTAGTGAAACATAACGCAGGTTGTTTGTTTTCCTTTAGGAAGTATTACTTAAGAGAGCAGCAGACCTTGTTGAAGCCCTATATGGGATGCCCCACAACAACCAGGTAGGTCAGCAGCGCGCTCTTTGTTCCCACGCCGACACGTGTAGATCAATACCTGCTCTGTGCAGGGCTGGCAGAGCATCAGCACGTTGCCTTTGTACACAGCCAGGCTTTGCCAGCCACCTTGAGGGCAGTGTGATGTGATGCAATGCTCCGAGGGAAGCGCTTCATCTTCCCCTTCTCCTCTCGCTGCTCGTTTGCCTATCAGAAATGACAATTATGTGCGAGGTGCCAAAAGCATAAGCAAGCATTAAGGCAAGAGAATAACCTTGAACTGGGGCCAAAATATACAGTGACTAATGGGAAGTCCTAAAGAAATCTGCTCAGCCGAGTGGATCAGCTGTACTGTATTTTGCAAACTGCTGAAAATACAACTCCTGCCTTGGGCGCATAAAACCCCTGTGACGATTTTCACCTGGCTTCCAGTGCTAAACTGGAGTTTTGTGTTAATTTCTTCATTTCTGTATATTTACTGTGTTGAGGAGCAATTGGGCATGGTTGGAACGAGCAGCAAACCCCCCAACCTCGCTATAATTCCACTTGAATCTCTTCGGTAAATTTTTGCGCTATTGCGACTTTGGAGCGTTTGCACAAATCTGAGTTGTCAGTGCTTGTTCCGTGTCTCTCTAGGAAATAATCCTGAAACGAGCAGCTGACATTGCTGAGGCGTTGTACAGCGTGCCCCGCAACCACAACCAGATCCCCACTCTAGCCAACACTCCCGCCCACACCGGCATGATGGGCGTGAACTCCTTCAGCAGCCAGCTCGCCGTCAATGTCTCCGAAACATCGCAAGCCAACGACCAAGGTAGGTGGGATTTCAAGGGTTAATCCTTCACCTTGTTGGCTGCTTTTGGCCCGTTGGTGCGAGCTGATGTCACCGCCGTGTCCTCCCTCTCTCTGTCCCCCTGGCCGTGTGTCTGAGCGCGGAATGAAATGCCGTCTTTAACTTTTCTCGTAATATTTAATTCTCCCTGTTCTTTCATTTACTGTTATCATAAAGCATCTCCGGTGGGGGAAAAAAAAATACAATTGGCAAAGTGTAAAAAGCTCTTTGTTATTCGCAGTAAATATACAGTGTGTATGGTTGGTTTATAAAATAACTATGTCTCTGTACCTCCACCTGGTTTTGGAATATTTACACAGATAAATCTAATTTGATGTCTGTGATTTTAAAACACTTTGTTTGTAGGCATGTGTGACATATATGTTACTAATAAAAGTAATAGTTGATTTAATTTACCTGTTGTAATTGAAAATGCATGTAGTATATTGCATTTAAAATTAATTTTGATACTAATGAAAGGAGGGAAACAGGATTATTAGATATGTTCAAACGCATTTTTTTTTGCTTGCAACATAATTATTAAATTGATTGCTCAGATAGGAACAAATTGTTGTTTAAAATCCTGATTCCGCTATGTTTCCTCTTCTAAAAAGATTGTCTTTTAATGCGTTTCCAAGCTAATAAGCCTTATAAAATTCTGTACTTGCTCTTGAATTAGTTTTCACTGATGGCTACACCTTACGAAAGCTTGTTGTTAGCATAAAAAATATCAATCACAAAATGAAGGCCCCAAAACAGCCTTTTAAAGTAAATCACCGCAACAAAAAAGTTTTTCTTGTCAGCTCTGGCATTTGAAGGTGCGGAGAGGCTGAAAGTTCACGCAGTGTGTTGGTACAAAGCGGGACTCGAGCCTGTTGATAATTGCTCCTAAAGACAAACGTGAAGGCACCTGACACAGCTGGATCGAAGAGAGCTTTTGTTGGCTGTCTGTGCTAAGAGGAGAGACAACATAGAGTGCTCGCGGATGATTTAAGTAGGGTTGGCGTGATAAGGTTATCTCAAGCTGCAAGAGTTGATAGGGCAGTGAGAGACAACTCAGAGCAAAGCTGTGCAATCAATTAAAACTGTGTAATATATGCTGCATGAGGAAACCCCCCAGCCCTAAGTCTATCTTATAAAATAACATTATTTTTTTGGGGTGGGGGGGTTTCTAACACAGTAGGTTACAGTCGCAACACAAGCAGTGTTTCCCCGCGAGGATATGTTCCCAGCAGTACTCCTCAGCAGTCCAATTACAACACAGTCAGCAATAGCATGAATGGATATGGCAATGCCGGCATGCCCAATCTAGGTGTACCAGGTTCCCCTGGATTTCTTAATGGCTCCTCAGCTAACTCTCCTTATGGCAGTAAGTGTCTATTTTTGGTAACACATCATCATATAGATTCATATTTACTACAAAATCAACTCCTTGCATTGTTTTGATTTCCTCTATTGTCAGCTACTGGATAAAAGGAGGGGTGACTCTGGAGGCTGGACGTAAAAATGAAAATAATAAATTGATCTGTTTGTGCCAGAATACAATCTCAGATAGCGAGAAAAAAAAAAAAAAAAAGAATGAACGAAACAAAACAAAACAAAACAAAACAAAAAAAAACCGAAAAAAAAATTGGACTGCGCAATTCGTAACAAAAGTCCAACACAAAAGAGTTTGCCTGTTATCCAGAGAGTGGCCAAGCCAAGGCATTTCATTTTTATTTTTTTATATATATTTTTTTTATATATATATATCTCTATATATATTTTAAGAGGCAAGGCCCTATCACTCTCTTTTTCCGTGTTTGCCGTGAAAACCTCAATCTGAGTCCTGATTATTTTTGCTTTATTGCAGTAGTGCCGTCAAGCCCTACCATGGCAGCCTCTTCGGTCACCCTCCCTTCAAACTGTAGCAGTACACACGGCATTTTCTCATTCTCACCTGCCAATGTCATCTCTGCAGTGAAACAAAAGAGCGCCTTCGCTCCTGTTGTCAGGCCCCAAGCCTCTCCTCCACCATCTTGCACCAGTGCAAATGGAAATGGACTTCAAGGTGAGCCCGATCTCTCTCAATTTTCTCTCTGCTGCCTTTTTTTTTTTTTTTTTTTTTTTTTTTTTTGTGCTTTTTTTTTCTCGGGGAGAAAGGTACCTGGCTGGATTTTTCAGTGCTGTTGTAGTGATGCGAAAAGCAGGGGGAGAAATAGGGTAGAGTGAATGGTCTGCTGAGATTTTCAGGTTTTTAGTTCATTTTTGATGCTTGCATTAGAGCAAACACCAGTTGTTTTTCTGGCATTTTCCCTTAGGAGTCCGTGCCTTAAATTTTAAGGGAAGACTGTATCCCGGAATGCCTCTTGGAGGGTTTGTGTACTCCTGGTGTTTTTATGTTTTCTGAACACATGTCTGTGGATGTTTAAACCCAGCAGTGTTCTGGCAGGACACAGTGTGATTTCCTCACTTTATATAGGGTGCAGTGGTGATTTTAAATATGTCAAGTTAAAATAAGTCAGGTTAAGCCCTTACTCAGTGGACTGAGCTTTCCTGGACTAGGCAGCCCTGTATGCAGTGGTTTGTATGCTCTGGTGGCGCCAGCTCTTACTGTGGTGTTAGAGTGTTTACATCCCTAAATGAACTAAATATTTTAATTAGGGCAGGAAATTTTAATATTTAGTCCTTTTTATTTTGAATTTATAATCCATGTGATTTCATATGGGTAATGCAAGAAACAACTGATAAATCAGTGGCAGAATGTCCGTAGTCACCTGCAGGGTGTGGGGCAGGAGGAATTACGGCACAATGTGAGGACAAAAACACAAACAAGTCACCCTAAAAAGGAAGACTCATGGCCAATTTTGCCACTTTTTGGGGGTATTTTGACATGCATGTGGGTGCATTAGAATCACTGGGAAGGTTTGTTTACCTCTGCTGGAATCTCAGTGCACAGTGCAGTGAATTGAGGCACTTGAGATCCCATTGAAACCAGGAAGGGTTGAGGACAGTCTCATCCCGGGGTCGTCGCTCCTCTTGACTTCCTCAGCTAAGCAGCAGCAGCAGCACAGGATTATTTATCCTTTATATCACCATGACACCCATAATCCAACCAGCACTCACAGGCAAACAGATGAGGGGGATTTTAATTTGCCAAACCAATCCTGGACACCAGCATTTTGTGGGGTGCTGAAGGAACTTTGGAGGGGCATCACCCCAATCCCACAGAGCTGCCTGTCCACCCCAAATCCACTGCAGGATCTCAAAATGAATCTTCCTGTAGCTTGCTCTTAACTTCTTGGCCCAAAAAAACCATCAGAGGCCTTGTTATGCACTCAGGTCAACAAAGAGATGAGAATCCAGATGCGCAAACTCACTGTAGCATGATGCTAAAGGAAAGGATAATTAAATTAACAGTTTTTTGTGTATTTCTTTAGTGGAAGCTACACTGTGTTACTACTGTAAGTAGAAAACTATATCCATATTCTTAGAAAAGATAATCCATTCCTAAAATAATCCAGTGTCCTACTTTCCTCTTTTTGTTAGAAGGCACTGGCATGAAAAGTAAATACTGAAATAAAATAATGAAAAAAAAAAAGGAAAAATGAGATAGTAAAATAAATAATAAAAAATAAACAAAAATAAATATATAATATAAATGTGGTAACATATGGTTTAGATGCGAGGCAGGAAGATCAATGAATTGATTTTGATTTACTCTGATAAACACAATTATTTAAAGATCTAAATTAAAAAGATCCAGATTTTTGCCATTTAAGTATGTGAGTAAGGGTCTTATACTTGAGGTTTTAGGTACTTAAAATCTCTAGATTACCTCAAAGTGGGGTTTTAAGGACAACTGGGAGGGCTGAATAAGCACCTGATGTCCCTTAGTACCTCCCCAGGCCCCCAGTAATTGCACATCTCCATCCTCAGGTACAAAATGCTTTTTGTGTAAAGCTCAGAAGATGACTTGGAATCAGCCCGTAGTGGTTTGTTAAATAGGTCATGAATTCAGCTCTTAAGCTGAGCCCAACCTTGCTTTGCACTAAGCTCTTTCCATGCCCAGAGAACCCAGTGAAGATCTAACCATGCCTTCAATCCCTGGTTTTTGGGTGCTGCAATCCATGTGTTGAAATTAAATAGATAATGCACAGATAAATAAATAATTCATTAAATAAAAATGGCCAACTTTCCTCTGTCAGCTGAACCTGAGTCATTTTGTGTTGAGCAGAATGACCCAGAGAAACAGGCAGAATGTCCTTCTGGCCTGGTGCCTAGGGCAGCGACTTCCAGGGCTGTGGCAAAAAAAATTGCATAATTTATGCGAAGTAGGCAGCACCCCAAGGCGATGCTCAGTGCTGTGGGAGTTAGGGAACTGGCATGGAATCACAGAATCCTGGAATGGTTTGGGTTGGACGGGACCTTGGAGATCATTGAGCTCCACTTTTGGGCAGGGACACCTTCCAGTGTCCCAGGCTGCTCCAAGGCCAGTCCAGCCTGGCCTGGGACACTCTCAGGGATGGGGCAGCCACAGCTTTCCCCATGCCACGGCCTCAGCACCACCTCACCTCCCCACCCAGGAGTCTCTGTGAGCTCCTTCACCATCCCAGCAGAGGCACCATCCCTTCTTCCACCTTGATTCTTTGAGTCAGTTCAGACTGAGCTCACAACAGGCCTCAAATTCACCCTTTCATCCTCACATCTGTGCCTTGGCCTGAGCTGCAGCCAGGGCTGAGGGGTAGGACAGGGATGGGTTTGTCAGCTCCTTCCTTCATGAGGCATCGCCAAGAAAAACCACCAACACTGCTGTGTGGGTACTTATCTACACTGCATTTGATACATAGAGTTCATTAGGGAGCTTCTGCTTCTTCCTTCCTATTTTCTCAGTCATTTGTTGTCAGGGAACTCTTTTTAAAGTTTAATTAGTTGCTTTCTGGACTCTGTACAATCACCTTGAGAGCTTTCTGATCAGCACATTTTCTACATTAAGGTAAAATATGGAATTTGAGAGCTGCAGTCCAACGCAGCTGAAGTTTTTTTGGTAATCTTCAAGTACAGAATCTCATTTTAGGGCAGGGTGTGAAGGAGCTGAGGAGATGTCACTGTTAGGAATGGCCACATTCAGGCAAGCCAAGGGGCAGTAAGAGCTCACTGGTGGTGCATAAGAGGCAAATCCTGCAGTTTATGGATAAGCAGGGCCTTGGATAAGAATGGATGAGAATTCAGACAAGGATGGTCCTTCTGTGGGGATTTGGGGGTTAATTGACCCCTCCCTGGTGGGTAAACCACTGTAGGGTATCTCTGTGTGGCAAAAATGCTGCTTGTGGTGCACCTAAGTTGGCGAGAGCCGCAGAATTAAGCAGCTCCAGCTGGACCTCAGGGGGGTTGTTTTGTCCCCTAACAAAGGGTTAAACAGAAGTTGAGCTGCCCTGATTTCTGGCTTGTGCTGATGCAACCCTGAGCATCAGGACCACCCGAGCCCACCACACCAGCAGCAAGATCTTGCTGCCTGTGAGCACAACCCCAAAACCCCTCTGTGCTGTAGGACCTGCTGCCCAAGAGTGAACAAGGAGACACCTGTAGGTGACACTTTTTTGGTAAAGACATCCAAGACAATTTCCAGTGGAAGTTGTTCTTGCTCATGACAGGGGTTTGGACCAAGATGGTCCCTAAGATCCCTTCCAACCCCAACCATTCTGGGATTTGGTGATTCAGCAATGAAGACAGAGGTTAAGAGTGAAGAAGGCAATCTGGGAGACCTCAGAGAGGTCAGGCTGGGGGCGATGCCAGCCAGGGCTCCCCCTTGCTGCCCCCCATGCATGGCCAGCTGCTTGGCCATGGTCAGCCTGAGGAGGGCCAGCACTCAGGAGCTGCAGCTCTTGCAGGAGAACTGTCCCCCTGCCGTCCCCAGGGCCTGGCTCACTCCTGTGAGTAATCCCACAGAAAAGGGCTTTTGGGCCTTATCCAAAAAGCCACAATCTTGTTGACTCTGAGTGACCTCCACAGTCTATGATCAGAAAGTCAAGTACTCACACGAATTTTTTAAGAGCAGAATCCTGCCATGTGTGTTCCTTAGGGCAGAGAGGCTTTTCCTGTTTAAAACAATGAGCATTAAAGGTAGAAAAGAAATTTTTTAGTGAGAGACTACTGGCTGGCTGCGAAGTTGGAAGCACAATATGTGTTCAAAATTTGGTTTTCAATTGTAATTTGCTTTCTATAGATTGTGAAAGATATTGCTCTCTGATTATAGGACTATTATGCACAGCAAAAGGCTCTCTATATTCTTTTAAAATTGCATCCTGCTTAATTTTCTGATCTTCCTCCAGATGAAAGTATTGAAATTATTATTAAAAAACTCACCAGCTCATTTTTCTTTAAGAAGGCGTTTGGTATCAATTTGCACAGCAGGAAGCTCAGTGCAGAAATTCACAATTGTCAAAGATTGCTTCTAAAATAAATTGTGAAATGCACATCTGGAGCACCAGCCTTGCACCCCCTCTCAGACTATGCCACAAAGAGAGCTCAACAAAAATGGTTAAATTAAAAACTGAGATGTTTTTTCTTTCCTCCGGAAAAGTATGGCAGCGGATAATCTAAATTTTCACACAGCAGAATCATAGCATGGTTTGGGTTGGAAGGGACCTTAAAGCCCATCCTGGCCTGATGAGGGGTGGAACAGAGGACATCCAGTGAAGTTTGTGATGTTTTTTTGAGGGTGGTCAGGTCTTGGCAGGGGCTGCCCAGGGAGCTTTGGAGTCCCCATCCCTGCAGGAGTCCAAAGAATTTGCTGGAGGTGACATTCTGTGTCACCTGTGAGGTGGGGATGGGGCACAGATTGGACTTGGTGATCTTGGAGACCTTTCCCAACCTAAATGATTTTTGTGATTCTCTGAAAACACGATAAGGAAACTGAATATTTTGGGTAGAAAAGCTCTCTGCCAATATAACCACTGTTCTCCAGTTAAATTTTGTAACTTAAGTTGCTGGTTAGGTTTAAAACATTCATTATGAAGAATGTTGCAAAATTATAACTTCAGTTTTGATTTTGTTTTTTTTGACACGTTTAACTGGGGAGAAAAACGGCAGAGTTGGAAGATTTTATCCTGTTTCACAGACATCGCCTAAGCTGTGTTTTAGGGAGGTTTAGCTCCATCCAAATCCACAGAAGGCTCTGGCAGGACCAGGGGCTGCTCTGGGCTGTTGATGGTGGTGTTACCTATGAAATGTGTACAGACCCAGCTCTTCCAAACCATAAAGCTGCAACGGCGAATCTGAAATAAATTAATATTGTTGAAATTAATGAACTGAGAAATTGAAGTTCACATCGCTACACGAACAAATTTATTAATATCTGTTGTACATAAATTAATGAGAAATAGCATTACGGCAAAAATTAAACAACACTAAAATTAAAGACTGTCTGAACTGTGCTTCTACCAAAGAGTTAACAAGGAAAAAACAGTGGTTGTTGGCATCTCAGTCTTTTTCTATTAAGAAACCCCAGGATATGACTGGTCAGGGGTATTAATATCATGTCTTTTTATGGTGTTTGAGCTCTGGGGTTGGGAGAGGGTTTAGAGCTCTTGGTTTTGGTTTTGGAGAGTCCTTGGCATTCTCAGTCCTGCTTTTATCGTGAAGTAGAATAGCGGAAAACGAGGTTTTTCTGCCCAGGGCATGAAGAGGTGATTGCTGGGGATGCCCCCAAGGGATGGGGATACAGCCAGAGGAGGTTTCATGAGCCTGGGGAGAATTGAGCCTGGGGAACCAGAGATGTTCTGATGTTCTGCCCCCAGAGCTCCTTTCTCGAGGAGAGGCTGTTTGGGGTGATTTGCTGGGAGGAGCGTCCATGGTCCTTGCTCTGGGGATGCTCTGCATCCTCCCTCCCTGTCCTGTGCGGCTCTGAGCCCAGCCTGCCAATAACAGCTCCTTTTCTTCTCTTTTTCCTTTTAGCCATGTCCGGGCTCGTAGTCCCGCCAATGTAAAGTCACTTTTGTTTACCTACCGTAGCACCGAGCTGCAGAGGATGGGCTTAGGGGACAAGTTTAGTATATTAAGACATGCTGATGGAAGCAGTATCTTCACGCAGAATCAGCAACAAAACCGAAAATGCTACAGGAAAAAAATTAAAAAAAAAAAACCCCACAAAAATAAAAACCCCACAAAAAAAGGAAAAAAAAAAAAAAGACTTTGTTTAAAGATTTTATTTAAACTATTAAGAATCTACATGCAAAACAACCTACTTCTTCATGAACAATTCCATTTTATTGACTGAATTTTTCTCATATTTTCACATTTCTCAGTCCTGGAGAATAAGGAAAAAGCGACGCCTATTTTGTATAAAGTTTCTGATTACGTCTTGGCTATGTCTAGTACTTGCTATGTGTTGGGAGAAACTTTGTGGATGCACCATTTTGATTATCATGAAACACTGATGAAAAATGCCTCCGAACATTTTTCTGTACTCATAACTAGATTCACAATGGTTGTGTATCTCTATAATGTGAAATATTTTTTTGTGGTGGAAAAAAAAAAAAAGGGGGCCAAGGAGGTTATGAGCCATCAAACTGGAAAAAAAAAAGAATAAAAAAAAAAAAGGATGAATATATGATTAGGAAAAAAAAACCACACAAAAAACCGGGGCGTGGGGGCGGGCGCGGGGGGGTTTATCGTTGCTTAACTTCATCTTAATGAAATGGAACTTTGTAACTTATTGTAGTTAGAAATTGTAACTTTGATATTGAATTCTCTTGCCTTCAACAAGCACACTGACAGAGAAAAAAAAAAAAAAGAAATTGCTACTGTCTGTTGGTTTAAAAAAAATGAAAAAAATATACTTCCACTGCTAGAGCTTCCTGTTAAGCAAGTGTGATCTGCAACATTTTTTCAACTTTTGCTAGCACTGTATACTATTGCATTTTAGGCTACTGTGAAGTCTATGTTTCTTGTACCAGAAAATTGTCCTTTTGACTTCTAGATCCTTCTTCCCTAATGTGTTTTGTATGTGGTTATAAAATTGTAGACTTTTGTGATTTTGCCAAAGTTGTAGCTAAATATTTATACACTTGTCTTGAATTTTTTTCAGATCCACTTAAATATTTAGACAAAAAAAAGCAGATTTTATTCCTTATGACCGCTATAAGGAATAAAATAATCTTATCCATTGCAACACTTTCTTTCACATAAACACTTGCAGTCACTAAGGGAATTTATTTTGTAACATATCAACTATAAATATTGTATTTATCTTTGAAATTTTGTATATTGCTTTTCATCATTTTTTTTATGTTCTTGTATGTATTGGTTTTTGTCCTGGCCTGGTATCATGATGCTGAAAATAGCATTAAGCCAAGAACTGTTGCCTTCATGTTTTTCTTTTAAATAAATCAGTGTCTGTGCATTTCATTTGTACTTCATAAGGTTGCTATTGTTTAGCCTTTCCATCCTTTCTTTTTTTAATTTTTTTTTCAAAAATTCAAATTCATTGTTTATTTTTATATTATTTTTAAGTTATCTGAACAAATAATTTTGAGAGAAGAAGTCGTTTGTTGTATAGTCAAATCAAAATTGTGCCACATGGCTGTAATGAATACTAGTAGAATATGTGCATGTGATACAGCCACAGAAAAGATGAATCTATTTTGTGGTTGCTTTTTTTTTTTTTTCTTTTTTTGTTTGTTTATTTTCTTTATTTTTTAATTTTATCTTTAATTTTTTTTTTTTTAAGATTGTAAAAAGTCATTTTTTAGCTGCCACCCATGACTTTGCCACATAGCTGAACTGTGTTTACTGGAAAAATTCAGAGGCCTAAAGTTTAAAAATAAATTCACTTCCGATGTTTTAATTAAAATGTTTGCCACATGAACTTCTCTGATGCCTTAAAAGTGAACTTCTTTGAAGAACTTTTGTGCTGTTTTATCACAGGCTTACACCGCAATTGTTAATCACGACTTCATTTGGATGATTTCTGGTGTAAAAAATAAGGGGGGGAAAAAAAAGCACAATCCCGGTGTACAATTCTGCCACTCCTTTACGTGTCGATTTTCTGCTGCACTCTGCATTCTCCCAAACTCTGCTCTGCTCAAAACCGGGGAAGGTTCCACGGGAAATCAGGATCACACCGAATTTTTAATGTCTGGGAGTTGTTTGTTTAGGTTTCTTGGGGTTTTTTTTAGGGAACTTTTTGTAATCAACCCGTAGCCGACGGTACTTTTTAAACTGGAATGACCTCCGTTGTATTCCGTGGCTCTCAGTGCCAAATCCAGCCAGAGAAACGTGGAGTTGTTTTTGTTTTCACTTTGCACTAAATCCTTTGCCAGCGCAGCACTGCAAAACACGTTGCAAACTGCAGCAGAATTCACCTTTTAACCAAAAAAGGAGGGATCATTTTGCTAATTATTATTAATTTTTTTTTATTATTATTATTATTTTTGTATTTTTTTTTCTTTTTGGGCAAAAAATAAAAATGCACATTTTAGTCAAGCTTTTCTGGAAGGTTTAGAAGAAGGGTTCAGCGTAGCACAGCTCTGTGAGCATGGCCAAGGTGGGAAAGCCTGAGAAGTCACTTTGGAACTGAATTGTCTCCGTTATATTTTGTCTAAGTAAGGTTTTGCTCTAAAAAATTTTAAAAAAGAGGTCACGTGTACATGTTAAGAAAGTCTGCAAGTTCCTTCATAAATGCAATCTGTTTGTGTTTTAGATTAATTAGTCAATGCACTCATTGCTTCATTGTCTCCAGACGGAAAGCTTCACTAAATGGTAGATTTTACTGTTAAAAACCCTACAATAAGATTGTTTTATCTGTACATTTTTTCATATATTTAACTGTATAAAAAAATGTTCATTTTACACAATATTTAATTAAAGTATTTCTTGTCTGTGAATTTCATTTTTAGTAATTTTATCTGGTTTGATTATTAAAAAAAGTGACTAAACACTAAACGAAATAACGCAACACTGGGGGTTTCATTTCTAAATATCGGAATTTTTATTCCTTTGTTATGAAAAATCCCAAACCCTTGACGTGGTCTTTCCAGTTCCCTGGGAGGAGGATGAGGAAGGAGATCTCTGCTCTGCAGTGCCAATCACTTGTTGCTCAGCCTCGGTGAAGTGTTTATCCAAAACTGCTCACTTTTTGTGAAGATAACAGCAGAATATCTCATTTTCTTATTTAACCAAAACGGTGCACTTCAGACAGGCTTTTTGTAAAGCAAAGGTAACAATAGATTTTTTTTCCCCTTTTACTATTTTAATATCATATTGTAAAAGTCTGTAAACAGGAAAAGTTATTTTAAACAGAGCACAACCCAAATTTTCCATGTGGTGGTTTGACACTGAAGGTCGACGTGCTCGTCTCTCAACTGCTGAGAAGGAAGCAAATTCTTTTGCTAATTATAATACTGAGCACAAATATTTCATCCTCTGGGCCATAATGTGTGCAATGCACTTATAATGGGTGCAAAAATATATTTATAATGAGGTGGGCACATGCAGCCTCGGAGCTGGAGAGAGCTGCAAAGCTTTGCCTGATGTACAGGTCTGAGTTCCCCATCCCAGACACCAAATGTGCTCCTGTATCCTTGTGTGTGACCAGCACCACCAAAAAAAGGGCATTTCCACAGGAGCATGGGTCTGGCAGAGGAATGTAAGTGCCTGTGGTGGTGAAACGGGGAGTTTGTTCTGGAGTTTGAGCTGGTCATTAATCAGAGGGCTGCTGACAACTTTGAGAGGGCACTGAGAAACTCGGAGCTCCAAAGTGAAGGGATGGAGTGGTGTGTGTGCATCCAGTGCCAAAGGACACACTGCATGTCCCAGCCCCTCCGTGGTTCAGGGACGGAGTGGGGAGAAGGCAAAACTCGGTCACTGCAGTCACAACCTGCAGGAAAACCAGGATTTTTAACCATGCTTCCTTTCTTCTCCAGCATTTCCATAGTTTTCATGTCAGATGAAAATGGATTTGATAAAAAAAAGGTGTTAAATCTTCAGAACACTTTGGATTATTATTATTTTTATTATTTATTATTATTATGCATTGAAAACTGTTCTACTCTGAGTGCGTGTCTGTGTATCGTGTTTAAAAGGCGGCATAATCAGATGCATCCCACTAAAAAATAAGCTGGTTTTTAGGGATGAAAGTCTGCACGATGCCTACTGGCACTTTTCCTTTTAGTTTTATTTCAAAGGTTTGAATAATGAGCATCTAAATGGTTCCTCTAACTTTCAATGCAAGGAAAACACAAAAGGAGAAAACCCACATATGACAATTCCTAGAGCAATCCACCACCTACGACACATCTGGGTAAGAGCCCTGCTGAGGAAATATGTTGTGTCAGCCCACAGTGAGTTTAGACACAGGAAGATGATAAAAATTCCTTAATCAAAACGAAGGAATAAGAGTCTCTAAAAGTACATGCCAATTATTGCAGAGCAGCTTTTAAAAGTCTTTCAAGCTTTTAAAGATTATTCAAAGCACTTGAAATAGGCTTCAATCTAATGCCTCATTTCATTGCATTAAACAGCCTAGTTAATAAAGAATCAATATATTCAAAGGGCAAGGTTATCTTTTGTCTATAAGGGGTGGTGTCATTCTGAACCTTTTATAGTTCAAATGCTGAAAAAGACCTCATGAAATCCATACTCATCAAGTGGGTCAACTAGAGCAATAAAGAGGCCTCTGAAAGAATGGCTGCACTCCTTTAAAACAACTATAAGTCTTATCTCCCCACATAGTCCTCGCCAGGCTCCGCCAGAAAATGTCAATTTCTCATCAAGACAAGAGGCCCGGCGATAATTTTTTCCCAGAGAATACACACAATTAGGAGAATGCAGAAAGGCCCCACCAGTGATTTGTAGCTTATTATGTCACCGGCGGGCTGCGACCCGCCGCTAAGCAGATAATAAGGGCTGTTGATAACGCAGGTGTCAATAGGGCCCGCAGTGGTGGCTGAATGTGAGCCCTTGTGAGCGCCTCCCCCGCGCGCAGATCGCGGCGCCGATAACCCA